GGAAGTTACCTAAGATATGAAAAGGAACGAAGATCGGATCAGATAAACATTGTGACCTCTAAGTAGGGATCCTTCCTGTGGGAGGAAACCGGAGTAACCGGAGTAAACCCGCATGCACTCACACCAGAGATCGAAACCGCAAGCCAGAGGTGATCGGCCAGCCAGAGGTCGAAGCTCGGCACTCTAGATCACTAGGCTATCCCAACCCCCGTGTAGAGAATTTCACGTGCGATGACTAATGACTATTTATAGACTCATAGACTCTTATGCTGAGTGTTAATTGCACCCCGTGGTTAGCTAGAAATCACTTCGAGACAAGCCACTGAAGTGTGCACATTCGCCCTGTCGAGTTCAACTTTCTATAGGGAAAATTGTCGCTGAACGGGGCACCGTACATAAGAGCGGTTGAGATCGAATATCGTGAAAATCGGACCGAAACTTCCCGACAAAATGGCACTCCCCATATGCAAATAGTGTTAACGTGTATAATACCAAGGTTGTGTAACCTCTAAAGGTCACAATTTTTATCCGATTTTGATGAAACTTAAAATATAATTATATTTATGTTCCAATGATCTCGGTTCCTGTCGATATTCGCTCATATCGGACCGTAACTTCCTGGATTATGGTCCCCGATTGTGCGAAAAATCCCGTTTTTAACGTCTGGACCCCCTATAGATGTCAATTTTATCCGATTTTGAAAACCGTTTAAATATATCACCGTTGCACCATAATGACGGTTGAATTCGAATTCCGCGTACCTCTGTCCATTTGGGTTTGGCATAATTCAAGACCCTTATGCCAAAGGTTCTTTGTGAAACACTGTACTTTGCAAACACTGTATCGAATATTTCGGGGTGGGGGGGCAGAATGGTTAACACGCGCGCGCTGTATCATAAGGCCTGTCATTGAGTCAACTGGCGTGGTTTCGAATCCGCGGTTGTACGTGACAAGGAGTAGGGTCGGCTGTCCAACCTCGTGGGTTTTCTCCGGGTCCTCCGGTTTCCTCCCACTGCTAAAGACCCCTACGCGCAAGTAAATTATTGAAATAAAATTTAAAAAAAACATATGTTAGTCTCGAAATGACCTAGTTTGTGTCGAGTGGACGTTAAACCCCATTTATCTTGAAAGTTTACTGATTTTGTAAAATACGCCAATATGAGTACTGGGCCATAATCCAACTTCAGTGATAATATTTTGAAGATAGTATTTTTTACAAGCAATAAGGTCATGTCTAATGTTTTTAGCAAAACGATTTCATCGGGGGGGGGGGGGGTCGATTTAACCCATAAACTGGCCGCAAGTACTCTTTTATCCAGGTTGCTGCACGCAAGTAACTATCCAGTTAGATACAGTGACGTAACTGGGCGAGGCCTGATTTTAACATAGAAGTGAAACTTCTACAAGTAGGACGTAGGCTTTCAGAAGAAAAACCCTGCTATGCACTATACTGATCCCTGGGTTAAAAGCCCCCCCCCCCCCCCAACCTCCCAGTTGCAAGGGTTGCCATTAGTTAACTGGACAGTCGATCTTAAATATGTCATTCCATCTGACTTCCGTTATATCTATGACTGATTGGGTAATTAAAACACAACGGGAAAGAGTTTTTCTCATATTGTATAGTATAGCTCTAGAATGGAAGGGCTGATGCGTACCAAAGGGAAACTCATCCAAGAACTTTTGATCCTTAACACATTGTTTAATTTTCATACCATGAAATGGACAAAAATTGTCGCCTCTGGAAGGTTCACAAACTTCATTCATATTTCACATTTTTCGTACAATCCGGGGCCATAATCCAAGAGGTTACGGTCCAATATGCTCCAATATCGAAAGGAATCGAGATCTTATAAACATGCATGGTGAGTTTCATCAAAATCGGATAAAAATTGTGACCTCGAGAGTGTCCACAACCTTGGTATTATTATGCATATATCTGTTCAGTTCAGTATCACAGGAAAGCACGATCGATTGCAGTGCTTTCATGGTAAGGGATTTAAAAAAAAAGAATTAAAACTTCACTTCATTGCTGACTTCGGAGTAATTTTACTAGCCAGAAATCGCTTAGAAGGCGTCTCCAACGATCTAGAACTCCGCCTAGGCCCCTGGTCCCTCGCCTAAAGTCCTAGGATGGTAGCCCTCGCGCCCCAATCATGAATTGCTTCCACCGGCCCATGGATGCCACTAGGAAAATATAAGCAACGCTTGGTTAAGTGCCCGTCGGCCAACAATCGATTCTATCGTGACCGTAAACATTGTGAAAAAGCGAAGAAAGGGTTGGGCTGTGTTATTGATCCTATATTATATCGCGAATAGGGTTATTTAAATGTAAAATATCTGAAGGATAAATTTGTTATAGTATAATAAAACGCAAAGTGTAATATTTTCTAGTTAGTTAATGATGTTAATAGAGGAAATGAAGATAATGTTTGACATGGACAACATTCTGTGTAGGATTTAATGTAATGTCATGGCTGACATCAAAACCACTTATGGTACATTACCAGACGCTGTCTTCATTAAGTCTATATTAATAGGGGGACATTTGGTTGATTAAAGTAATTTTACTTGTAGGATGAATATACAGTACATCATGCATTTCATCTTGTTTTATATACCGGCACCACCCTGCAAACAAAACCGATATATTACCATATGACAACCTCTATACACCGTTTATAATTTAAAACACCGATTATCTTGTAACTTGGAATGCTCGTGTAGAAACCTAAAACACTTCTATTAAAAACTGAAATACTTTGTTAAAACCTGAAACACATAAGCGTCTGCTAGTATTACATGTTTTTGAGCATCGATATTTTAATAGATCGGGAACCAGGTCATAGAGGTCTATATGTACGTCATTTCAGAACCACGCCATGGTGCATGGTGGAATTTAAATTACATTAGCTATAACTAATAAACCGAGAATATATGTAGACAAGTAAAAGCATTGTATTATATAACTATATCTTTCTACAAATTATATCAGCTATATACTTGTAAGTAATGTCAATCTTGGTGTTTTTATGAACGAAAGTTTAGGAATTCCTGTTATAAATCAAACCAGTGGTCGACGCTTATTAGTGATGGTTAATATTTATGCTTTAGTCAAAATAACCGTGTTTTAGAAAAGTACATAAACTGCCAATATTTAAATTAGTTGAAGATATTATGAATATTGATCATCTAATTATTAAAGGCTGTTTTCTGACCATCATTAAAATGTTATAAAGGCCAGTTTTAAGAGGGTATACATCCCTATACATCATTTACCCTTCCCTCTTTTTAACATAAAAAAATGAACCTGTCTTAATCGTTTTCTAGTTTAATATTGATCTAGCTTTTTCCAAAAAGTCAATTTTGGCTATTGTGTTTGGTCGAACGAGGCATTATATACTTGTTTAGATGTTTGTCGGGAATTTGCGGACAAGGGGCATATTGTAGGGTATTTTCCTTCTGTATGCAGTTCTACGTTTCCCATTCTTTTTGTCCCCCGCCTTTCGAAGAAAGCAGGGGACTATTAAAATGGGTTCGTCCGTCTGTCTGTCTGTCTGTCTGTCTGTCCGTCTGTCTGTCCGTCACACTTTTTGGGACACAATAACTCTCTTCCTAATTGAGCTAGAATGTTCAAACTTGGTGTATGTGTTTATTAGGTCAATGCCTTGATGGAGTTCGAAGATGAGCATTTTCCGCTTAGGGTAAGCAGAGATAAGCAATTTGATTGGTTGATGCTTTGGGACACGATAACTCTCTTCCTAATTGGGCTAGAATGTTCAAACTTGGTGTATGTGTTGATTAGGTCAATGCCTTGATGGAGTTCGAAGATGAGCATTTTCCGCTTAGGGTAAGCAGAGATAAGCAATTTGATTGGTTGATGCTTTGGGACACGATAACTTTTAATTGAGCTAGAATGTTCAAACTTGGTGTATGTGTTTATTAGGTCAATGCCTTGATGGAGTTCGAAGATGAGCATTTTCCGCTTAGGGTAAGCAGAGATAAGCAATTTGATTGGTTGATGCTTTGGGACACGATAACTCTCTTCCTAATTGGGCTAGAATGTTCAAACTTGGTGTATGTGTTGATTAGGTCAATGCCTTGATGGAGTTCGAAGATGAGCATTTTCCGCTTAGGGTAAGCAGAGATAAGCAATTTGATTGGTTGATGCTTTGGGACACGATAACTTTTAATTGAGCTAGAATGTTCAAACTTGGTGTATGTGTTTATTAGGTCAATGCCTTGATGGAGTTCGAAGATGAGCATTTTCCGCTTAGGGTAAGCAGAGATAAGCAATTTGATTGGTTGATACTTTGGGGCACGATAACTCTCTTCCTAATTGAGCTAGAATGTTCAAACTTGGTGTATGTGTTGATTAGGTCAATGCCTTGATGGAGTTCGAAGATGAGCATTTTCCGCTTAGGGTAAGCAGAGATAAGCAATTTGATTGGTTGATGCTTTGGGACACGATAACTTTAGTTCTAATTAAGTGAGATTGATGAAACTTGGTGTATAGTTTCATTACAGTAATACCTTGACTAAGTTTGATAATGAGCATTTTCTGCTCAGGGTAAGCAGAGCGATACGCAATTTGATTTTTATATGTGTCCTCTAATTATTTTCCTATTTCGGCGGGGGACATCAGCCTCACTGTTGGCTTGTTTGGGTTGTCTTTTCGCTATAGCTCTTCATTCTTTTCGAACATAAACGTACATTGTACTTTTCTAAACTCTAATTTGTCATCGTTATATTGATAACTTTATATTGTCAAAATATTATATTTTACATGTTATATTTCTATTGTTACTTAGATTAATCTTCAAATCGACGACTTGTTACATTGAAATATAGACATTGTCCTACTTATCTTGAAGACACGAGCTGTAAACTTCTAATAAATCTATTTGAAGCTCAAATTGAATTTATAAAGAAAGGGGGGCGTATATAAAGGATGTATACATGTTGTGTAGTACGCATGTGTACAGATCACAGAAAGATGATGCATGGATAAAATAAGAGTGAGTTTTCATAGCAATAAGCTTCTGTAATTTGGTAGATAGTGTAAATTATGTAGTGTTTATGACCAAGTTATGGATTATTGAGTTAAAATTACCTGTTAATAATTCAGTATCACGTTTATAGACCAATAAAAACATCAATATATTTTCTTTACGTGTTTGTGTTGAAGAGAAGGGGAGATAATATGACACTAATCGTACAAACTGTTTATTATTGGAGCTGTTAAATCGCCACTCTCAACCTCCACCGTAAATTCTGACTAAATAAGGAGAATCGATATATAGCTGAGTCGGATTACTCCGACAGTATTGATACGTCCTCTACTGAAAATATCATAAACTTAGGTAGCCGCATTACACGTGATTGAAAGGGTGTGTCATTCAGGGGATTTATTCCACGAACGAGAAAATTAATTTGAAAGCAAAAATCAATAGATTTATGAACCATCAACGATTATATCTCCCAGAAATGACTTAATTCTTACCGCCCTTTAAATTTACTTGTGTCTTGGAAGTTTAATGGGTTTTTTTGACAACAGCACTCTAGAGAGCCCGTTCTAGCTAAACATACACCAGATATTCATGTATGCAACCAAACTATTTTAAGATCAATGCACTAGATATTATTTATTTACAGATATTATTTATTTACAGATATTATTTATGCGACTGTAAAGAATATATTTTGTTAATATGATAGAACTGGTAATAAATATAAAATATAGCGTTTTCTGTCTTAAACTGCGATAAAATATAAAATCAGTAGAAGATTACTAAGATTGTATTAACAAGTGATTTATTTTATCTTATTTCTATCGTATTTCTAGCCGAGAAAGAATTTTCCTTGTCGTAAACCTTCAGTTTGATCGTTTTTTTAATACTCAGTCTTAAATGTAATGAAATGAAAGTGGTTTCAAACGAAAGCGAGATATATTTCTATGATTACGAGTGCAATGTTGATGGGCATTTTATCAAGTGGTACTTTTCCCATGTAATGCTTATATTTATTGCCATTGCACACAATTTACAAAATGTTCATATTTACAACCTAATGCCCACATTGTCATTAAACCACTACTAATCGGAAAAGATTACTGATTTTACTTATTTTCTTAAGAAACAAAATGAGATAGTAGATGGGATTCTGGAAATAAACGGATTACACAATATTTTTTATGAATTTGCCAGGGTGTTTAAACTTGATGTAGGAGTATATTACATAAATGTATTGACTGTAGTCGATGATGATGGGTGAGGGTGATGAAAATTGATGTGTAGTTTCATTACATCAATACCTTGACTAATTTCAGTGGTGAGCATTTTCTGCTTAGACTAAGTAAAGATTTCAGTTGAATGGTCGCGACTTTGTAACACAACAACTCTCTTTATAATTGAGGGATAATGTTCAACTTTGTTGTAGGTGTTTATTTGATTGTCCAAGGCTATGCATGGCTTGGGACTTGAGGACACGATAACGTTGATTGTAATTGTTTAATTCATTACATCAATACCTTGACTATGTTAGATAGTCAGAGTATTCTGCTTAGGATAGGTAGTGATAAGTAATTTGATTTAGACACAATAACTCTCAAAGTGATGTAGAATGTTTAAACTTGGTGTAGATGTTCATCAGCGGGATGTCTTGACTGGGTCAGATGATTAACATTTTCCGCTACGGCTAAGCAGAGATAAGCAATTTGATAAGTGGATGCTTTGGATCACGATAACTTTGATTCTAAGTGGGTAGGGGTGATGAAACATGGTGTTTAGTTCCACTTCATCAATATCATGACCAAGTCCGACCATGAGCAGTTGTTGTTTAAGATAAGTATACATAAGCCGATTCCTGGATGCTTTTCAGAAAGATAATACAATTAATTAATTAAGGCGCTTTTTGTAGAGGCATTAAATGAACGAAGCAGAATTTCCTTCATGCAAACATATCTTATATCATTTTTAGGAAAATACACATTATGACCATTGTTAGTTCACCGTGCCATGACCAAAATGAAAAATACTAATTTCGCTAACTTGTCACTTACACTCTAAGAAAAATTTTCAGTTCCAAATTCTTACGCATTACATTTCAAGGAACGAAACGTATGAAAAGCTCTTCAATCTTCTTCCTTTACACTCGCAGATCTTATACATTTATTGGACGCAAAGTTTTTTAATAGTGCACATGCATATTGGTGTACCATATCTTATATAGGCTAAATAAACCACATTTCTTTAAAGCCCATGAAGGGTTTTTATGATGATATTTTTATATTACAGGTATTAAAAGCAGCAAGTCCTGTGTTGTTGAGAATTATTTTACTGGGGGCATTTTTCTTGTACTGTCCAGTAAGTATATCTTTAATGTCTTTAGTGCTTCTTTCTTATTGCTGATTACTTATTTTATGGCTATATTCTATTGTTCCCCTGTGAAATCCGTATCCTCCAAAGGTTTTATCGAAACCACTATATTTGATTTTATATTTTGTCGGTAACCAATGCTCATTTAGCATTTGCTTGATGGAGTTTTTGGCACCTAATTAAAGTATTTTGTCATATTTCAAGCTTAAGTAAATTTTTTCAAAAAAAACCCCACACGTTTGCCACAGATGGTTTACAGGGGAAGCGGTTCATGCAAAAAAGTAAAAAAATCTATTCAATCTGATCAAAATTATTTAACTCTTACAGAAAACTGTATGCTGCGTTCACATTAAATTATACAAACAGATCGCCTAGCTAACAATCATTGATAATGCATAATTAATGTCAATATTTTAACATTTTTACAATGTTCATATTTCACATCGTAGTTTTAATTTCACGGAAGTTACCAAATCACTACTAATTTTGTCACATAACCCGAAAAGAAACTATTTGCATTATGTTTTGGTTTTGTGTATTATTGTACGTAGTGATGATATTATCGAACAAACACTGTGTAATAGAAGGGTAAATGGATTACGGTGCACATTACACCCTCGTTGATTAAATCACCATCAAGAAAAAGCCAAGGATCACTACAGCTTGATCATATTGCCTAACGATTCATTTCAAATATCATTTTCTTGTATAACTATAATGCAACATATCGAGTTCGTTTATATTCAGTTAGCCCTACATATATGATTTATGTCTATATGAACTCTAGTCTCTTCTTTATATCGGATGATCTAAACACCGTAAAGTTGATATCGTTGACTAAGTTAGTTAGTTAGTTAGTTAGTTCTTGGTGTTTAACGTCTGCTTCCACATCGCAGACATGACATAGGAGAGCCGAAGCTGATTCCTGTTTTTTAGAATATGATTTTGCAATCTTTCAATTTGGCCTTAGGCCATGGATTTTGTTTAGTGGGAAGTTCTTCCCTTTATTTAATATAAAACATATCGTTTGGTAGATGATCTCGTCTGCTTCTGGATTGGTAGATGTCATCGTTTGGGGTTAGTGTTTAGGTGCCAGGCCCGTTTTATCGTGGCCTCCCCTTACTCCACTATCTGGGTTTGGTATCAGTTTTATTTGCGGAACAGTGTTTTGGTGCCGAGTTCGTCTGACCTTAACTCCCCCTTACTCCACTATCCTGCTAGTTTGGTAGATGTCATCTTTGTGGGGTTTGTGTTTAGGTGCCAGGCTCGTCTTATCGTGACCGCCCCTTACTCCACTATCCCACTCTGAAGGTTTGGTGTCTGTTTTTGGTGGAATAGTGTTTAGATGCCGAGTCCGTCTGATCGTGACTCCCCCTTACTCCACTATCCTGCCAGTTTGGTATAAATCCCCTATGTAGTTTAGTGTTTAGATGCTGGACCCGTCTAGCCGTGACCCCCTCTTACTTCACTATTCTACTTAGTCCAACTATGTCCATTAGGGCGTGGATTTGTTCGAAGATTTGCAGTTTCAGATCTGGTCTCGGAAAGAGTAGGTTCTTAGTGTTGAATGGTATGTTGTTGGTCTCCATTGTTCTCACTAGTTCCCTTCTCTCCTCCTCGTATACCTCGCAGTCTACCAGGACATGGTTGGTGGTACATTCTTCTCCGCACTCACAGATGATGTCTTGGTGTTTGTAGTCTCGCAGCCGCTCTTTCACCCTTAGCTTCGATATAAGTCTACAAATATCTCTTCTAGGGTGATTGAGTGTTGTCTTTGTGTAGATCTTGTCATCCAGCCGGAATCTGTATGTGTCAAGTTCAGCGAGATTTAATTCCCAGAATGAATTGACCTGTCTTTTGACCATACTGTAGATTTCCGTGGTGCTGTAGTCTATGGTGCGGAGTGGTGCTGTGTCCTTGATACCTTCATTGGCGAGTCGATCTGCCACCTCGTTTCCTCTAATGTTGACATGTGAAGGAATCCACACGAGTTCTACTTTGCTTCCCTTCTCTAAAACCCTCTGGTACAGCTGCCTGATTTCCAAAATGACTTCTGGTCTTGAGTCCGAGTTGTCATTTTGGATTGAAATCAGACTGCTCAGAGGGTCGCTTGGAATGACGAACTTACTAGTCTTTTGATGGGAGATCCATGATATAGCATCACGAATGGTCACAAGCTCTGCAGTGTACACCGAACATTCCCTGTTCCCCTTTTGGCAGGTATATTCCAAACGAGCTGGTATCCCTTTCAGGATTGCGTGAGCCATCCGTGTACACATGGTCCCAGTCATCAGACGGCCAGTTGTCTTCCAGGTGTTCTAGAGAGAAAGCACGTGCAGCAGTGGGGTTGTTTTTCCTGTCGGTTTTCTGTAGTAGATCTAGATTAAAAGCCCACATTTTCATGTGAACGTATATTGTCGTCTCCCCTGTCCGTCCGTCTGCCCGTCCACAATTGTTTGTAGACACTCTTATCCGATTTTGACGAAACTTGAAATATAGGTTTATCTCCAAACGATCGCGGTTGCTTTCGATATTGGCATTTTGGTGAAACTTGAAATGTATGTTTATAACCCAAAGATCTTGGTTCCTTTCGATATTTGCGCCTATCGGATCGTAACTTCCTGAATTATGGCCCCTGATTGTACGATAAATCGCCTTTTTTAGCTTGTGGTCCTTCTGGGGGTCACAATTATTATCCAATTTAACAAAACCATTTGAGTATATCACCGTTACACCGTAATGAAGGTTGGTATATCAAGGTTGTGGACCCTGTAGAGGTCACAATTTTAATCCTATTTTGATGAAACTTGAAATGCATGTTTATAACCCAAAGATATTGGTTCCATTCGATATTCGCGCATATCGGATCGTACCTTCCTGAATTATGGCCTTGATTGAACAAAAAATCACGTTTTTAGCTTATGGTTCCTGTAGAGGTCATAATTTTTATCCGATTTAAAAAAACGTGTGAATATATCACCATTACACACTAAGATCTTGGTTCCTTTTGATAATCGCGGATACCCGAACTTAACTTCCTGGATTATGGCCCTGATTCTCTAGAGTCACAATTTTTTTTCCGATTTTAAAAACCGTTTAAATACATCACCATTCCACCATGATGAAGATTGAATTCGAATTTCGGGAAAATCGAAATGAAACTGCCCGAAGGTTGTAGACCCTCTAGAGGTCACAATTTTTATCTTTATATCCCAAAGATCTCAGTCTGTTTTGATATTTGCACATTTCAGGCCATAACTTTTTGGATTATTGACCCTGATTGTACAAAATAGTGTAAAAATCTGGTAAATCAAGTTTGTGGACCCTGTAGAGGTCACAATTTTGATCCAATTTCGATGAAACTTGAAATACATGTTTATAACCCAAAGATATTGGTTCCTTTCGATATTCGCGCATATCGGATCGTACCTTCCTGAATTATGGCTCTTGATTGAACAAAAATCACGTTTTTAGCTTGTGGTCCCTGTAGAGGTCACAATTTTTATCCGATTTTAAAAAAAAAACGTGTGAATATATCACCATTACACACTAAGATCTTGGTTCCTTTTGATAACCGCGGATACCCGAACTTAACTTCCTGGATTATGGCCCCTGATTGTTCGAAAAATCGCATTTTTAGCTTGCGGAGTCTCTAGAGGTCACAATTTTTTTCCGATTTTAAAAACCGTTTAAATACATCATCATTCCACCATAATGAAGGTTGAATTCGAATTTCGGCAAAATCGAAATGAAACTGCCCGAAGGTTGTAGATCCTCTAGAGGTCACAATTTTTATCTTTATATCCCAAAGATCTGTCTCTTTTGATATTTGCACATTTCAGGCCATAATTTTCTGGATTATTGCCCCAGATTGTACAAAAAAAAAACGCTTTTGTTTTTAGCTTGTTCTCTATCCATCTCTTGAAAAATGTGGGCGTATCCTGCCTGGCAGCCGCTGGTTTATATAGATGTAGCACGTTATATAGAAAACACAATTATAGCGTATAAACGCGAAAAACTTAACGGACCTTATATCCGACACTTAATGCAAGATTCTTGTGAATCGAACACTGTAGACAGAACTGTCAATCACAGATAAGAATTTTAGTTAATTAAAGTGAGATTGGCACCAGAGATTAAAGACATGATAGATGGGTGATCTTCAGATAAATGATGAAACTGGGGAAATGGTTAAATTAATAAGGAATAGAGTTTACAATGACATGCATCTAACGTATTTATCTAGTACTGTCATTTTATACCATTTTTTTTATCGAAGCTATATGTGTAACTAGCTTAGCGTTTCACTTAACTTCAATTAAAACTTCTCTAAAACTGTTAGCCTGATGGGGGACCAGGCGGCATCCTGTTAACTTCTAAGTTGATAGCTGGTAACCTTACTTTGATCTTAAAACGTATAGATCTAAGAAAACATATAGAACATGCAAACCTGTTGACATAGATATAAGGTAGAACTTGTTAAGATTTGTAAAATGAAATGCCTCGTAGGTCACACAGAAGGTCTTGTGGAAGCCTGTGTTATGTTGGGTTTGTTCAATTTAACATGCACGTGAAAAAAACTAAAATCTGCTAAATGCCCTTTAGATTGTATTTAAACACGTCTGTGGTCTTTAATTGTAATATTCAATGTACATTTTATAACTCATGTTTTTCAATATTCCCATTTTTGTGTTTGAGACAATTGAATTGTTGTGCGTTTACGCGATGCGAAATCATCATTCTCGCTTGTTTACCATCATCATGATCTGATGTTATTACATTCAAAACTGCACGATTAAAGTGTATCTATCTCTTATGAGATTTAAAGCCATACATTTACAAAAGTGACATGCCTTCATTACACAAATTTGGGCAATTAATAACATTTTTATTTTTTTTTTACACAAACAATTTGTTTTTCGACACTTTACAGGTCACAATTCTTATCCGATTTTGACGAAACCTGAAATGTAGGTTAATCTCCAAAAGATCTCTATTCCTTTTGATACTGCCATGTATTGGATTAAAACTTCGTGGATTATGGTAAATGATTGTACGAAAAATCACGTTTTTAGCTTGTGGACATTCTAGAGGTCACAATTTTTACCCGACTTAGATGAAATTTTAAATGTATGTTTATAAGAACCCAAAGATCTTGGTTCTTTTCGATATTGCCGCATATCGGAACGTAACTTCCTGGATTATGGCCCCTAGTTGTACGCAAAATCACGTTTTTTAGCTGGTGGTCCCTCTAGAGGTCACAATTTCCATCCGATTAAAAAAAACACAAACATTCACATATATCACCGTTACATCAGAATGATAATCGGACCGAAACTGCCGGACAAAATGGCCGTTCCTTTTACGCAAATAGTGTAAAAGTATGTAAATTCAAGGTTGTGGTCCCTTTAAAGATTACAATTGTTTATCCGATTTTGATGAAACTTAAAGCGTATGTTGGGTGGGACGATTTACCCAATACTATCCAATACCACCCAATACCGGGTGGGTCGATTTACTCAATACTACCCAATACCACCTAATACCACCCCAATACCACCTCAATATCACCACACTCTACCCAATACTACAACATAATGATGCAAAATAGACATATCATTCGATTTTTTTCTTCAAAAATAGAGAGTTATATCGCGCGAAATGTACTTCAAATGCGATACCGATGTCTGGCTGTACCACCCCGGACAAGCCAATAATAACCCAATACCACCTAATACTCATCAAACACTACCACATACTACCCAATATGATCAAATATCAAAGTAATATTGTCAAATAACAGCACATTAGTAAAATTACTGCAAAGAATATTCGATATTTTGCAGAAAATTGAAATGTTTACCCAGTTATCTCCTTTTACAACCGGTAAATAGATTTTAGATTGATACTCTGTTTAATCATCTTCTTTGGCTTTACAGTTGGTTTCCAAGACGACAAACTTAAATAAGTATGACGATATACCATATTTTATTCCCAAAATGACCCATCTGTCTCTTACCACTTGATAGGGTCGTCTGTCAAACAAGGTGGGTTTTCTCTAGTCAACCGGTTTCATCTCACTGTTAAACACCCCTTCGCGCAAGCGCAAGCGAGTTAATGAAATAATATTGAACTATATGTTAGTCCCGAAATTACCTAGTTAGTGTCGATTGTTTGTATTTATTTTAAAATTAATGCCTTAACAAAGCAAATTGCATAATGTTTATATTCATTTTTTCATGTCAACTATTAAGTTATTTCATATTTTCTTACTGCACGATGTTTTATTTTACAATTAACGAAATTGCACATGTTTCTTTCCAGTGTGTAATTACCGACGTGACACTTCTCAGTTCATCAAAACTATCATTTGCGGCCTGTTACAGCTCTGTCAGTCCCTAAAATACTCTTTTATTTGGATGTTTGGCTGTTTATTTTATAAACTGATTTTATTTTGATGCGTTTTTAAATCTTTGTTAACTTTTTTTAAAACTCTTTTTATTTTATGTTATGTTATATATTGATATGCTTTTAATGTGTAATATTGTATGAATTACACTAATAGCGGAGGCATCTATAATAAGCTGTTTTCCTTATTTTAACTTCGTTGCCTTGGACACAAACTGCAAAGCCCAACAAGATAATTATTCTAAATCTAAAATTCAGTTGTCGGTTATAAAGGAAGATAACTGTGTAAATATTTCAATTTTCTGTAAATTATCGAATATTCGTTGCAATTATTATACGGATGTACTGCTAATTGACGATATTAGGTTTGTATTTTATAATATTGGGTAGTATTTAGTAGTATTTGATAAGTATTTGGTAGTATTGAGTTATTGTTTAACTTTGCTTGATTTGGGTGATATAGGGAGGCAAATGGAACAGCCAGACATCGGTAATCACATTTGAAGTACATTTCCCACGATCACGATATATCTCACTATTTTTGAAAAAAATGAAGTAATATGCTCATTTGTTGTAGTATTGGGTAGTATGTGGTGATATTGGAGTGGTATTGGGAAAATCGTCCCGCCGCATACGTTATATTTATATCCCAAAAATCTTGGTTCCTTTCGGTATTCGCGCAAATCGGACCGTAACATCCTGGATTATGCCCCCTGAAAATCGCTTCTTTTTTTTAGCTTGTTCTTTGACCATCTCTTGCAAAATTTGGACTGTCTTGCATGTCAACCGCTTGTTTACATTTGTGGCGATTAAGGACACATAATAATGTCTGCGTGGACGAAACTTATATATTTCTTATCATATTAATCCTACATTGGTTATATACTTCATATTTACTGTCAGATTTGTGTAAATATGTATTTAAAAGAATCATTTAACATTTTATTATGAGTTTATGGTATTTACCGATGCTGATCACACTTTTAAAGAAGAAGCACCTAAAAACTTTATAGGAAAATGAAACATAATTATTTTAATTTCTATATCAGACTCAATACTGCAGTGCTATCAGGAATTCATTCAAGAAGCCTTCTTTAAACAATTGCTACAGGTTGAAATCTATCCTCTATGTGGTTAAAATATTTTAGATATATGGTTTAATATGTTGTATAATGTGCATTAGTTTCAGTGTACCGTTATTCATAATGACAGAGCTATTTCACTCAAAATACTGATTTATATTAACCTTTCGTATAAACAAACACAGTGAAAGCCGATATAATAGAATAACAAGCAGCCATCCTCTCTGACAAACTTTTATATTTTATTTTAGCCCACTGCACCATTGCATTGTATACAGGTGGGTTAGCAGACAATGAAACACACGCCAACTTATAGCTTAGTTGTTAAGCTTTATATCACAATTGCTCCTAACTTAATGTTTTAAAGTTTTGACAATGATAATTTTCCAGCGAGTTTTAAAAAGAAATTGCAACTGGCAAGGGCAATAATTCCAAAAGTAATAAATGTGCTTCCTTGAATTTCATCCTTACTAATCAATTTCAAAAAGTTCACAATGAAGATCCCAAAAACCGTTGATCCAGAGAGTGATTAGAAGCTTTTGATCATAATGTCAATGACTCGGCGATTAATTAATGCCATTTTACATAATATTCGAATAACCATAAAGCTTGTTCAAATTATTATTTACATAATATTCGAATAACCATAAAGCTTGTTCAAATTATTATTCTTTTCAGTTAATTGTTGGGTTTTTTGAAGCTAGTGTTATAACATGTTGTATGAAATTTTGGTTCAGAGAAATTGGATTCTATATTTCTTATGGTGCATTATTACTGAAAACGTGGAGGTGAGTATATATCTATAACATGCAGTGGTTAATCAACATTTAGTTATTGTAGTTCTAATGAGGGATCGCAGAAAGTATTGCTATTCTCGTCCCTCGAGGATGCTTAAATACCAAAATTCGTCGTTGTTGTTGTTTATTAAAGATTTAACATCCAATACAATGAATATGATATTATGGACAGGTTGATTTAATTAAATTATTTACACTTGAAAATTGTTAAAAATACAAAATAAAAATATAAATTCGCTGTCGTGAGAAGAGAGGGCGGGTCGTCTTCTCCCTTTGTCATAATAAGGTTAACACAGGAGGTCCAACTGACTGATGTTTAGCGTCATCAGAGCGGATATAAAAAAACCCGTTGGGAAAAAAAGAATCCACTGGATTTATGTGGAAAAGCGAAGTGTCCGCAGTAAAAACCACATAGCTGGACCCGTAAATTATTTACATATTAAAAGTGTTCGTCCAATAAGTTCCATGTTGTTAAAAAATAACTAAGAGTTCAAGACTTTAAGTTTAAAATTTGTAGGCATTCCATTAGAGTTTTTCTTGCGTATCGTATGACTCTCCACAGATAAAAAGTTACCTGAAAAGAAAAGAAGAGCCAGCAGCAACACAAATTGAATCATTTATAGGAATAAATAAATTTTAAAACACGGGTTAAATTAAATTGATTGATGTGCACTGCCATTGTTAATAATGGTTATGTATGGCCTTATTCCTTTATTTTGTTATTATTTTTCCCATCTGTGTTATTATATTAGATCATGCAGCAGGCTGAACCGCCATACTGTCCTACAACAATAGTTCCTTTCTTTGTAACTAGATATGTAGTTCCCTATCTTAACGTTAATTTGTTCTCATATTATTAAAGCATCCAGGTGGCTTAGGGGCCAACCTGGTCTACACAACCAGTTATCTTTCTTTGACTAGTGCTCTTTTAACCCAACTAACTTAACAGTTAATTCACGATTCTGCTATAAATTTTGAGATAGCTTCATAAATTTTATATGATATATTCCTAGGAGGGAAGAGTACATTTTGGACGGTGTATTGAAGTTTGTCATTTTCCATTAAACTTCATACAGGGAGTCTTTTCTTTTCCAATTTATTGCTCGCAATGATGACATGATTAACGGTCAAATTGTGGCCACATTCGCACTTCACTGGGTTAAATTTATGGTCGGTAATTAAATCCTTAGTTCTTAATCTTGTGATTAACCCACAAATTTTGCGCAATGGGTGATTAATCTCCGTTTTTACAACCAGATCGTTGTTTAAATTGAATCTAAAAGTATTTGCTCTGGCGAACTCAATTTTCCATTCTGATTCGGTCTCGCAGAGGCTGAGTCCTTTGCCAGCCAGATTATCTGCGGACCCATTGCCTGCTATGCCAACATGTGATGGTATCCATGTAAATTCTACAGTTTTATTTTGTTTTGGAGGGAATAAACACTTTCTCGAATATTCTGAACAATTTCTGGTCTAGGTGTTTTTTTGTCATGTATTATTGTCTTGCTGCTGAGGGAGTCTGACACAACGACTGCTCTTTGAACGGTGGATGACACGAGCCACTCAAGAGCTGTGGATATTGCCTTTAGTTCTGCTGTATAGATAGAGCATCCATCTGGTAGCTATTTCGATATATTAATTAAATTCGGAAATGACCACACCTAATGCAGTTTTGGTAGTGTCTGGATCGTGAGACCCATCCGTGTATATTTTCACATGCGATGACCATTTTTCGTTCAAGAATTCCCTCGATAGCATTAGAGCGTGTTGTGGATTTTCTTTTTTCTGGACAACGTTACCTAGGCTTATGTCATAGTTTGGATTTAAAAAGGTCCATGGGGCTTGATACGAAAATACCCTATCAGTAATCTGATAGTGATCTAATCTTAGGTCTTTTAATAGATCATTTGCTCTGTGTCCGAAAGGCTGAGTCTCTGATTTGACATTTCTTTTGAATTTTTTCCTTGATGTTTTTATACACTTAAATGTTGGACAGCTGTCCCCAAGATACTGTAATTTGGCCCAGTATCTCAATGTCAGCTCGTTTCGCCTCAATTTGAATGACACATATTGATCTTATCATGGACCTATATATCATTAGCAGGGTCGCTTTATTTGCTCCCCCTGATATGACCGTCAGGCATCTCATTACGTTCAGAACATTCTGTCTTCGTTTAACAATATTTTCAATATGTGGTATAAAATTCAAACCACCCTCGGTTATAATCCAGCCAATCAAAACTAGATTAACGGAATGAATAACCGAAACATAAGACAGAACGAAATGTTGGTACGGATTTAATTTGGCTTGATTGTAATATGTAAGAAGATCCCCATTCCAAAGGGTAGCTCGATAGGTAACTACAATTACGCACTGGATCCTTTGTTCTGACTCGAGTGTTCAAGTTACTGATCAACCAGTAATGTGTTGTTTTAGCACGCGCACAGTTGATCATTTGAGGAAAAGTAGATGGTCATGAACACCCCAACATACTAACCCGGTGATTGTGGAAAAACAGACCATGCATTTTAAGGTGTAAATTGTATTAGAAATAGCAAGAAACATCGTGTTAATTTAAAAAGATAAATACATATACATGTAGTTAAACAATAAATAAATGGTGTTTCAATGATTTATAGGTTGTGAAATAGTAATATTACGCCCACAATAGCTAAGTCGCCCGAACAGTCAGATTTGTTTGCCTTCTAGTTCTGTCTTATACTAACATTTAGTACACAAAACATTAAATATCAGGGACCATAAATCTGGAGGTAATTATCGGAAATCATTGAAAATCAATAGGATTCTTTTTCTCATGACCGTAATCCTTTAGCCTCCAGAGCGTGGACACCAGACGGGCGGGAACGACGACAATATATGACATGTGGGCGTATAAAAATGTGTCCAAAACCTGATATCAGCAAATAGGCATAAAATACATTTATCGGTATACCAATCCAAATTTCTTAAAATTGTATTTCAAAAACCTGACATTGGAATGATCTAATTTGTATGCATTGTAAATAAACAGACATAAACTGGCTATATTCATGTTATGGACCCCTCTCCAATCTGCTTAGTAAACAACAATATATAACGTGCAGAATAATGTATTGATACCTGTTACAGACGAATTGGTAAAGCGATTTTGAGTGATAAAGCGTCTGTGGTAATCTTGCGTTTCGTATCCTCCCATTTTCATTCATTCATTCAACGTCTTACACAATCAAAGAATCCAATGTGTAAGTGAGTTATCGACCTTGGCCTCGGGGTCAAGTTAGATAAACATCCGAGCTTGCACAATAGCCGAGCTCGGTTGTTCATCTAATTTGAACCCCTCTGTCTCAGTCGATAACCCTTACATAACCAGCCTTATATGACATTTTCAAAATATAAAAAGGGAGTTCAAAAAGCGCTCAATTGGTATCATTGCAGATTATTTATCCATTTAGTTATGTTCATTTAGTTGTGCCTCCTCTATTATGTATGATTTTAATTGCAGAATTTCTGTAGTATTCCGAGTTCGTTCAGCTCAGCGAGTAAAAATATCTGATGGGGATTTAATAAAACGATTAATTTGTATGGTAGTAATAATTGCTGCTTATTTGTCAGCTAGAACAGTAGTTGGTATGCCTAGAGTTATACAAGGTAAGTAAATATAAGCAGATAATTCAGTAATTTAACTAAAAGTATAGCCGTACAGTTGCACCGTCGATCCTCATTCGTGTTGACTGTCCAAATTCTTTTGTCCAAAGGAATAAGACACGTTATCCGTATTGTCTAGCCTAGGCGTGAGGAGTGGAAAGCAGTGGGTTAAAAAGATTGATGTTTTAAATCCAACTACTACTATTAGAAATGATACAGTAAAAAGACACAGAACAGTAAACAGGGGCAATCTTGTTACTATTCCAATAATTTCTGAACAAATCGATCAACGCCCAGACAATACACAATTGTGTCTTAATGCATGGCCCGTCGAAAATAAAACAGTCGCTTTGAATGATTATATATACGACAACAATGAAGTAATTGGGAGAAATCAAAGACATTTAAAAGTTATCACCACCAACAAAACATATGAACCTCTAAACACTAATCCACTGAATATTAACATTAATCATAGCAATCTCATCCAGCTTACCTCAAACTCTATCAAAAATCACAAACAGATTAAAAACTTTAGAACAAAACAGAAGATAAACAACAATCTTATACAAATTAGAAAGGCGGTCGAAAATGAAGCGTCAGTATTAACAACTTCGTTTGGATTAATTAATGCCAGATCCGTAAGAAATAAAACAACAATTTTATCTGATTATATTTTTGAAAATTCTATTGATATTTGTGGAATAACTGAAACGTGGCTGAATATTGACTGTTCGGACTCATCGACAATCGCAGCTTTAGTACCTGATGGATATTCTATACAACATTGCCCTCGCGGTTCACGTAGAGGAGGCGTAGCACTTATATTTAAGTCATCTATTAAGTGTAAGAAAATCCGTCATGACCGTTTTGATTCTTTTGAAATTTTGGATTGTTCTCTACAGTTTTCTTTCAAGGAAACTAGGATTATTACAATTTACCGCCCGCCCAATAGCAAATTGTGTCAAAAGTTTATGGAAGAATTTGGATTATTTCTGGACCAGTTGATGATGACTAAGTGTTGCACTATTATTTGGGGAGATTTTATTTTCATGTTGATGATTCCAACGATTCTACCGCGGTTGATTTTTGTGATATGCTGAATAATAGATCTCTCACACAACATGTTTCTTCTTCTACTCATAACGGTGGACATATTCTCGATCTGGTGATAACTAATCCACGTGATATTAAACTGGATAATCTCTCTGTCTCGGACAAATTAATATCTGATCATTTCCCGGCAACTTTTAATCTTATGATCTAGAAACCACAACCAACAAGAAAGACTTTAACATATCGAAGGTTTAAATCATTTGACATAAATAAATTTAAAGCGGAAATAGTGAACTCGAATTTCAATGGCATTCAACGTATTCAAGATATACAAGAGAAGGCAACCCAATATCACTCAAAGCTTGCTGAAATTTTGGACTCGCTTGTTCCACTTCTCGATTAGATAACTTTAATTCACTTTTAGTTGGTTTACCTTTAAAGCTTATAGATAAATTACAAAAAGTACAGAATACTGCGGCTAGACTTGTTACTTTAACTAAGAAATGTGACCACATAACTCCTGTTTTATATAATTTACACTGGTTACCTGTTAAATATCGAATTGATTTTAAGATTGTATTACTTACTTTTAAATGTTTAAATAATTTAGCTCCTGTTTACCTCTCAGATCTTTTAGAACTTTATACACCTGGCCGAACATTACGTACATCAGATAAACTACTTTTAAAGCCCAAAACTGTTCAACTAGTCTCCTATGGTCAGCGCTTTTTTAGTTATCAAGCACCTGTTTTATGGAATAATCTACCATTTAGTTTAAGATGTTGTACATCTCTGTATTCTTTTAAAAAACAACTTAAAACATATTTATTTAATCAAGCTTTTAACTGACTCTGTATACAATCGTTAACATGCCCATAATCTTGTTGTTTATGTGTGATTTACATTGTCACTTTGTAAAGTGCCCCTGAACATGTTATATGAAAGGGTGCACTATAAATATGCTGTAATAATAATAAAATAATAATAATACCCAACTGTGATTGGATATCGGTAGGATAGTGCAAAGAAAAATTCTAATGTAACGTGAAAGTTCTGTATGATGCGGGAACATAAAATATAAGCGAGATGGGGTACCGGAAGTAATGACTCGGTTTCTGGCTATCGCGCAGTTCATTTGGACAATATATATATATATATATACCACAGAATTCGATATGTTGTGGTTATAAATAATGTAATCATCCAGCCTGAAATACCCAAACCAAAAAATAAATCCAGCTTGAATTATGTTTGACTTTATGCGAACCCCAAAAAAATAAAACCACGTTTGCCTTTGTGATACACAATTAAGAAACAAGTTTTTGGTTGTGTCAGAAAATAGGCTTACTAAATAGGCAAGTTGAATTGAGGTAATGTAGTAGGATTCAAATGTGTGAAGAGCTTTATCAAGCAAAAAGAACAGGGTATATATCCAAAAGATAAACAAGAGAACGTTCAGCTCTTGAATAGTTCGTGTGTCCAGTTAACCATGGACAGTGAACGGCAAGGGCGAGGCCATATCAAAATGTAATACATTTTATTCCTACACACTCCAGTGTGTTCTTTACTCTAAACATTCCAAAACCATCACCAAAACGAATGGATATAAGTTACAGGAAGTGTCGCAATATTAGCGTTGAGAAATTTGTTATGGACGTTGATGTGCAGCTTGCGGATGTTCAATCATAGTAGGTCCAGTCACTTAACGATCGCTGGTGCAAATTTCAGTCTTCTTTGAAAGTTGTTTTAGATAAACATGCTCCACTTAAGACGAGGACCGTTTTATCCGACCTGATACCACGTGGTTTGCAGATTCACGTCAACAATTGAAACATCAATGTAGACAGCGGAGAAGTCTTGGCGAACATCTCGGCTAGAAGTAGAAGTTTATCACCAAATCTTCATCACTAAAACCCAATTTTTAAAAGAGAAGATTAACCATGCTGCCGGTAGTAAAGTATTATTCAACATCTGCAAAGGCCTCACTAAAAATTCATTTTCAGACACTATGCAATCATGCTATAAAACGAACCAACTCCCCGATATATTTGCCAGATACTTTACAGAGAAGATTGAGTAAATAAGACAGGGCTTTCAGATTGAAAACGATTTTATTGACCATAATGACCAACAGGATGGTTATATTTCACCGTTCGAGGTAAACGATATCTGCAGACTACTTCACGAAGTTAATCCAGAAAGTTCCAGAAAAATCATGTGAATTGGATATATTACCTACATGGCTTTTCAAGAAATTTCCCTTTGCAAGTACAACCTATCTCCTTGAGCTTATTAATGATACAATAAACAGCTAAGAATTTCCCGCAGTATTTAAGACAGCTTATGTGAAACCACTCCAGAAAAAAAAATACGGACCAGTTTTAAATCTATCTTTCATTTCTAAAGTTATTGAAAAAATCATACTAAAAACATACCAGCCTGCTTACAGAAATCTGCACAGTAAAGAGACAACCCTAACAAGTGTTCACAATGATATCCTTCGAGTCATGAACAAAAGCCATGTTATTCTATTCGTATTATCGGACTTATCAGCCGCAAGGATCAGTCCTCTGACCAATTCTTTTTACAATCTACACGCTGCTTCTTGGCGATGTTATCAGGGAATGCGATGCCAATTTTCACCTCTTTGCTGATGATACCCAGTTGTATCTTAGAGGCCCACCTTGCGACGCCCCAGAGGGGGGTTGGATGGCTGAATGGTTAGCGTGCGCGCGCTGTATCATAAAGTCTGTCATTGAGTCGACCGACGTGGTTTCGAATCCCCGGTTGTACGTGGCAAGGAGTAGGGTCACCTGTCCAACCTCGTGGGTTTTCTCCGGGTCCTCCGGTTTCCTCCCACTGCTAAAGACCCCTACGCGCAAGCGAATTGTGTAAATAAAATTAAACCATATGTTAGTCCAGAAATGACCTAGTTTGTGTCGAGTGGACGTTAAACCCCATTTCTCTCTCTCTCTCTCTGCGACGCCCCAGAGAAAAAAAAACACAATCTGAAACACTGCAGTGAAAAAATCAGCGTGTGGATGAATGAAAACATTTGAAACTTAATTCAGACAAAACAGAATTTCTTTCGATCTGTAGACAGAGCATACAAACCCCCACAGCAGATTCCAACAACTGTCAAATATCTATTGGAGATGATTGTGTAATTCCTGTTGTCGAATCAGTCAGAAATCTAGGGGTTATCTTCGATTCATCCATGAACTTTAATAAACACCTTCCTCTGTAACCCAGTCCTGTTTCCTTCAGCTGCGCCAAATAATTAAAATTCGAAAATACCTTGATATTGATTCAACCAAAACTCTTGTCAATGCCCCCATAACTTCTCGCCTCGACTATTGTAATTCCCTACTTTACGGTCTTCCAACAACTTCATTAAATCGTCTATAGAAGATTCAAAACACAGCCGTCCGAATTATTACTAAAACCAAACTTCATGATCATATTTCGCCAATTCTAAGGGAGCTTCATTGGCTACCCGTAAGGAAACGTGTAGAATTTAAGATTTTACTGTTGACATACAAGTGTCTTCATGCCACAGCTCCGAGCTATCTTCAGGACCTAATTCAAATAAAATCCCACCAAAATACAACCAGGTCTTTACCTCAATATAACATCATTTTCTGTGACAGATAACTCAGCGCCATTGAGCAGTTTACTGGAAAATAGGCGGTATATAAATTCATTATTATTATTATTATTATTATTATTATTTCTAAATACCCCCTAAGTCTATTTTTTGATGTTCTCCTGGATTTCTTGTATTCCGTCATTTTATTTTATGTCAGTTACTCTTATATTGTCCAGAAAGGAAATACCAGATTTTCGGCGTTCCATAATCTTTTGCCCAACCATCGAATTTGAATCATTTGGATTTCATATAATAGTCCATTATTTGGGCTACCAACGACACTTTAGTTGTTTCGATC